TGTACATTTGCCCAAAACCAGTCAAAATCACTTCCTTGGGCAATCTAGTGTTAAGTATATTCCATTTCTCTTTAAATATATAAAATCCAATCTAATTATGACGCCTACTCAGAATCAATGAGAGACTCACAATTGATGACAAACATGCAGTCAATAAACCTTTACTCACCAGTGTGTCTGGTGTGACGCTGGAGTTGCTGGAGTTCCTGGAAGTGATGATGAGACGTCGGCGGCCAGGCCTCATGATGCGGTTCCGGCGTCTGTTCCTGAGGACAGTGAGGCCTCAGATCCAGCGGTTCCTGCCTGAGGGACTGCGTCAACCAGCCCATGCCTCCCGTCACGGGTTGCACCTCGTCCTGGACGATGGACCCGGGCTGCTGTTGCTGCAGGTGGAGGAATAAACCTCGCTCGCGAGGCTCCCGTTCGCCCCGGTGCAACTGCAACGGCGGCGGCGACGCCGAGACCGGCGGCGTGTCCGGCGGCGTCCCAGGGTGTGAGAGCGTCGTCAGATGGGACGCCGCACTCGGCGGCGCCTTCACCAAAACCCCGTGCTGCACCTGAATGTGCGGCTGCCCGTAAAGCGGATGCGGCTGCTCCAGCTCGTGCGCCGGCGGCGTCAAAGGCGCCAAAGCCAGGCTCTGCATTTGTACAGGCACCTGTACCACGCTACCGTTCACCATCATCGGTGAATTGATTCGGACCTACCAACATTTCCGTTTAATCGATCATTTTATCTATATTCATTTTGCCTAAAAATATTGTCGCTTCAAATATAGAACATAACTTAAAATTACTATGGCCGGTATTCAGCCTAATTTCATTTGCCTAAAAATATTATCGCTTCAAATATAGAACATAACTTAAAATTACTATGGCCGGTATTCAGCCTAATTTCATTTGCCTAAAAATATTATCGCTTCAAATATAGAACATAACTTAAAATTACTATGGCCGGTATTCAGCCTAATTTCATTTGCCTAAAAATATTATCGCTTCAAATATAGAACATAACTTAAAATTACTATGGCCGGTATTCAGCCTAATTTCATTTGCCTAAAAATATTATCGCTTCAAATATAGAACATAACTTAAAATTACTATGGCCGGTATTCAGCCTAATTTCATTTGCCTAAAAATATTATCGCTTCAAATATAGAACATAACTTAAAATTACTATGGCCGGTATTCAGCCTAATTTCATTTGCCTAAAAATATTATCGCTTCAAATATAGAACATAACTTAAAATTACTATGGCCGGTATTCAGCCTAATTTCATTTGCCTAAAAATATTATCGCTTCAAATATAGAACATAACTTAAAATTACTATGGCCGGTATTCAGCCTAATTTCATTTGCCTAAAAATATTATCGCTTCAAATATAGAACATAACTTAAAATTACTATGGCCGGTATTCAGCCTAATTTCATTTGCCTAAAAATATTATCGCTTCAAATATAGAACATAACTTAAAATTACTATGGCCGGTATTCAGCCTAATTTCATTTGCCTAAAAATATTATCGCTTCAAATATAGAACATAAC